AGGCAAACATCAGTTCAAAGGTCTGAAATGTTTATTGCTAGAAGTAGAAATGAACTTGGTTAATTTTTAAACAATGGGCAGTTTCCTGGGTGATTCAATATATCACAGGAGATAGGTAACCCTGATTAGGAACTCAAAAATAATTGAACAGGATAGATTACAAAAGCAAGCTTAAATTCAAAGAATGTCAGAGAGGAATTCACTCTAACATAAATGCTATTATCTTTATGTTTAGGTTTTGTTTTGGTACCATTCTACATTGCACTTCAAAGCTTGCTGAAGTTATTGAAAATGCAGTGAGATGACAGCTAATATTTGAAATTAAAATTTTATTATTTAATTTAACTTTACAGTAGTAGAGAGATCTATGCACTCTAATTAAAATTTAATACTGTGAAACAATTATGAACAATTTTAATTAGCATTAGATTGCTTGATAATATTAGTTAACATACCACTAGCTCCTTCACATCCTTAACAAGTGATTCTGTGATGCAGTTCACATAGCGCAGCAAGCCATGAATTTACAATGCTGTAGCTGTTTCATCTGTCAGAAACCTTGTATAAATCAGGGGGCTCCATAACGGTTATACTGCGAGTCACAGTATTCGGAAACCAACACTATACTTTTCTCGGTTAAAAAATCCATTCCCATGTGCGTCTATTAACCTCTCACCCTCTAAATCTGTGTCCTCTATCAACTCAACCTGCAAAATCAGACAGACAAGTGTGTAGGATCATAAGGAGAGCCACACAGCAGCTCTCAGCAAGTGGCTGCGCTCTGACCGCAGCTACCTGATATTAACAGATGCCCAGGGAAGATGTAAAGACATGGTAAATACAAGTTTATACCTCCAGAATATTCTCTCACTATCCACCACTGTAATTCAAGATCTTCTAATTTATTAAAGTAAGCAGAATCCAAATTCATGTTTGGCTGTTGAAAGGGGTCACATAGCGTTTTTGGAAACATTCTTAATGTATTGCCCCTTTCAAATCTTGAGCAATGGAGCTCTTGGTCCTCTGAGGCAAACCCCATTGCCCCTGTGAACAGCCAGCTTTCCTTCTGTCACTATGTTCTTAAGGTCACTCCCCTCTTTGCTTTTATGGACCAGTATGCATTGTTTGTGACTATGGGCTTCTAACAGGTTTCTTCTCCTTTTTTCTAGCAATACTTCTTACAATAAGCAGTTGTTGTATTTTCTGTCCAGGAGGTACCTCCATAGTATCTTAGTTTATACATTGTCTCAGCTACTTGATGAAAAACCTTGAAGTTGCAAGGAAATTTACTGTAAAAAATCAGAAAGTTAGAATGTATTGCTTACCATTTGTTTTACAGAGTTTGAAAATCTGCAGCACCTCAGATCAAGGTTCAGTCTGATAGAAAGCTGAGTGTTTTTCTGCAGAAGTTTATAGAAATTAATTGCAGACAATTTAGTTACAGAAAGAAACTCAAAGCCTTTGAAATGTCACACTGGCAAAGCTTTTTTTTTAAATATAGCACAGCTACCTCGATAGGTATAGACTCGTACATCTATATCTGTATCTGTCTATTCATCTCTACTTCTAATCTCTATCTGTATGCTATCATAGAAAATATTAAGAAAGCAATTAAATTAAGATATATAAAGCATTTGTGTTGCTCATTGTTATTTTCTATCAATGAGTATATTAGGAAATCTCATTTAGTAAGACAGGAAGAGGTGCCTGGTCCAAAACTAATGAATTTTTTAGTGTTATAAGTCAGATGGCACATATGGTCCTCACCTCCTTCAAAATCCTCATCAGCAACAAACCTTCTCACCTGTTGCCTTGTAGCATTTCCTCTTGCTCCTTATATTCCTACCACCTTCTTCTCTCAAGTTAGACTCAAGTCCCAATCTGACTAATAGAGTCATTTTAACTCACAGCAACAGTTCTTGAACTGTGCTTAGATTGAGGTCAATGGCTTCTGAATGATAACTTGGGTCTCTCAGAGCTGGTATATCCAGCTATATCACTGTGTATAAAGGTATCACCTTCTCTTCTAAGCCTTGTTCTTATCCAGTAATAAATCGTTTAGGTAATTACATAAACTAGAAAACTTCTAAAATGTAAATAGATTAATCACAGTTTCCAGTTTGTCTGAATATCCCATTAAAGATGTGTTATTTTAAACAAATGTGATGACTTCTGAACTCCACGTATATTTTTTTTGCTATCTTTGCCAATATCAATCCTATTAGCATTTAATTCACCAATATGACTACAAAAAGCTGGATGTTTGCTTTGCTGAAGGAGATATTAGTAGGTGTAGTAGATCCAGAAGATCCTTGTAAAATTCATGTAGTCAATAAGCACATGAAAGACAATTTTACTAAATACATACACCTTAAGTCATTAATCAAAATAAAGTTAAAAATACATGTTGACTTTTAATGCACGTATTGAATGAAGAGTGATAGTGTTTAAGAAGCTTCTTTTTAAAATGCATTAGGTTCAATGTACTGATCATATGGTAAACAGTATTACTTCTTGCTTGCCTCTTGCTTTTGTAGTTGGGTCAGCATCTAGTTTTCACCACATACAGTGATAACCATGCTACCTAACTGTTCACATTCATACCAACCTCTCTGCCTTGGGTAAGGGTGACTTGTTATCTTGGCTGACAGTCCCATATGGCAATTTGGGCTGAGAAAAGAGTAGCACTGGGGATGTTATCCACAGAGGAACCAGCTAATGTCCCAGAGAGGACACTGCCCTGTCACTGTACAGACTAATCATAGCAAACACACACCCCAAGTGGATACATATTCAAGAAGCCTGGCCCTGGCAACTGACACAAGGCTACACATGGGATTGACTGGAATTAACTGATTATGGATTAAATATTTAAGATTTTTTTCTGCTTTGTTCCTAACCAGAGATTAAACTACCCGGGAGTAACCTACTCTGAAATAAAACACATAATATAATACTGAATATTTTGTTTTACTCCAGAGTACCTTTATTTCTGTGCATTTCATAAAACCATGCTAGCTTTTAATTAAAGGCTTAATTTTTAAAACATTAATGCACAAAGAAATCTTTATCTTATTTATTATTTGAAATGATCCCAAGTGGCAAAGAAGTTTTGATTTCAAATAAGGACTTTCACAAAGTTCAGGGTTGTCAGAATCAACAGTTTTAGTTCAAGCCATTCTAATAATGACTATTTACAGAAGAGATGGAGTGATTCACAAAAAGGCCTTTCAAGCCAAACTGTAGCAATATATTTCTAGAAAGTAGCTAGTTTCTCTGCAATTGTCAGCTTCTCACTATGATTAAAAGGGTTCAACAGCAATGATTTGTAGCACTCTTCATTTTCATCAGTGTTTCACAATTCATCAGTTTCAAACCTAAATAATACTGTATCCCACTGCAAATGTTCCTATAATCCTTTCCTCTCCAGTGACCAAACTACAGGGGAAAAATCCCCACTGTTCAGCACTAAATATAAATCCTGTACGAAACAGATGTCTTCCCTTTATCTTTTCCATTGCTTTGTTATTCTTTTAATGATCTATGATTTCCTTTTTTTTTTTTTTTTTTTTTTTAATAACTAAGGAAGACCAGACAAATCCACTGTAATACACTATTTTTTTTTTGTCTCCCACTTGATAATTATAGACAAAATGATGCTAAAGATTATTTAAAAAAAGAAAGTTTAAGAGCAAGTGTGCAATGTATCTGTAATATTATACTATTATACCTAGGTGTTTATTATAAACCTCCCTGTTTGAATGTCATACAAGAACTCTGAAACATCAAATGGTGTCAAATTTTATTATTTTATGGTGTAATTTCTTCATATTGCTGGATATATTTTAAACACTGAATATTTTTGGGTTTAAAATGTTAATTTAAAGAAAGAAGAGATACATCCAGGATGTATAACTCCTTTCCCAGTGCTCATCTCTTTAATACTTGATTGATATACTCTCTAGGTCTGATTTTCAAATGAAATGAAACAGCAAGGCAGGAATCTGAATGTCCTACTTTCCTTGAAATCCCTGTTATTTCCTTAGTTTTGTTGAAATTCTCAGCATATCCTACAGAGTCTTTCAAGTTGTTGGCTTCCTTATCAATGTCAGAATTTACCATGTATTTGAGAACTATCTCCTACCTCTCCTTGTTCTCTGTGACAGTGGGCTCCACAATAGTGTATCAAACTTCATCCTTCAGAAAGGCCGTCAGCATGTATTACAGCTGAACTTGAAATGTTTTTATTTCCTTCACCAAACTATGGCCAAGTAATGAGATAGATCTCATGTTCTATAAGCAGTGAGTAAGCTGAGAGGGAACCAAATTCAGAGGAGACACACAATGTCTGTCTGGAATGGAAATTGATTCCTGCGGAAACCCCACGGATTCAGAGGGCGCCTCATTACCCTCCCTAATCTCTCCTTTTGTTCAGGGAACAAGGCTGCTACAGCAAGTTGTTGGTAGGTTCTTAAAGTTGTGTAGCTTCATATAATTTAGATAAGAATTCTATATCTATATAATTTAGAGAAGCAAATGTTACTAGAGAAGATCCTTTATGGATCCCATTGTGAGGCTCTAACAGGCTAAATCTGTTCTAGTTAGTAACAGAGGACAGAGGCCACTGCCTGACTCCACATCAGGCGATGTGGCCAATTTGCATTGACATGCCCAAGCTTTCTTCTGCCCAAAATAGGATGGTCACCTCCACAATCCTGTTCTGAACAGTCTCTGGTGTATGGTATCCCCTGAAATGTGCCCAGCATAAGGGGAGAGTGTTGGCAATTAACATATATTACCCAGAAGTTAGATAGTAGAGTAAGTTCAGTCAGACAAATTGCATCCTCTCTGCCATAGTTTTCCAAGTGCAGGGTGAATTATGCAGGGATGTTTAAAAAGTCTTAAAAATAAGAATTTCTTATTCAAATGGGAGATACATAGATTGAAGGATCAAAGGATAATTCATGTTGGAAGGGACCACAGGATGTCATGTTTCCAACCTCCTGCTCAAAGCAGGGTCAGCTTTTGGATCAGACCAGGCTGCTCAGAGTTGAGTTCTGAGTGCAGTTGCATTTTGTCTGCCCCCAAGGATGGAGAGTTCACAGACTCCTGGGCAGCCACTACCTGGCTTCCTCATGGGGAAAAGGATTTTCCTCATGGCCAGTCCGATCCTCTTTTGTTTCAGTTTAAGTCTGATGTCTCTCTTACTCTCACCACTGTGAAGAGCTTGCCTTGGTTTCTTGCTATCCTCCCTGCAGGGTTGAGCAGGCTGCTGTTAGGACCCCTGAAGCCATTTCTTCTCCAAGCTCTCAGCCTCTCCCCACAGGACAGGTGCTTCAGCCCATTGCGACAGCCCTCCACTGAACCCGTGGCAGTTTGTCAATGGCTTTCTTGTACTGGGGATCTGAAAAGGGACATGGCATTCTGGGTATGATCTAGCAAGTGCTGAACAGAGGGAACAATCTCTCCCTGCCCACGAGCTCTTGTCTGTGTCCCTGTTGGCATAGTCTGAGAGGCCACTGGCCATCTCTGCTGCCAGGACACTGCTGGCTCGTGCCCAGCTCGCTGCCCACCAGCCCCTGGGCCTTTGGGCAGAGCTGCTCCCCAGGGAGGCAGCCCCAGCCTGTGTGGCTGCCGGGGCCCGTCCTTCCCAGGGCAGGGCTCTGCCTTCAGCCCCGCTCAGTGTCACTGGGCTCTGGGTGGCCCCTTCCCTTGGCCTGTCTGGGTCCCTGACCTAAGTGGACAGTGTATACTTTTTGTCTGGTGTTTCAGGTAATTCTGTTGAAAAAGTTTCCTTTTTCTCCTTTAGATTCCTCTAGTAATCTTTCTTCTTGTCCTTCCTCTCTTGTAGGCCTCTGTCATTCGTGATGTAAATCCAATAGATGTCCGTTGCACTCCTCCAGATACTTTCCAGCTTTCACTAGGCTTTGTAGCCTGTGAGACTGTCTCCTGACATCTCTGAAGGCATGAAGTATTTTCTGCTGTTTCAAAATGTTATCTGAGCTATTTATTACACTATGAAGGGGGATTAATTTGCATGGTTTAACAGTTATTTAGATAAGAGGTAAAAAAAAATAAATTAAAATCTGTGGGAAAGAGCAATCCAACTCTCAAAGGAAATTTTAGAAAGAGTGAATCTGGTCCTTCCATCTAACCTGAACATGCTTTTACCACAATACAATCCCTTCCCTGCTACTGGCAATACCTGCTCCTACAATATCTGAAATAAGCTATATCTTTCAAGCTGGAAAATTGGTAGATTGGATTGGCAGTTTGTGAAAGCACAACATACAGAAGAAGGCAAGAGCTTGATATATTTACTGACATTTTATCTTTGTTTTCGTATTTGTTAGACTGAGAAATAACTGGAATGCAGATCCATAAAGAAACCTTTTTAAAGAGAGCAGTGAATCAGTATTTGAGACTGATGTTGCATATGATGACAATTTCTTGGCTCTCTGTGGTATTTCTCCTGTCTGAAACACTGTTCTGCATGTCATTTCCCATAGCTTATTTTCCTTTACCTCAAGTCCCCTCTTCCCTAGTTTTCTTATGTAATAAAGCACTCTAAAATATATTGCTTATACTGTTCTGCTCTGTTTTCTTATGCTGTCACTAGTGTCCTCCCTCCCACACATATGCATCTTTAACACACAAATTTTTAAAAGTGGGAGCAATAGCTTGGAGGTCAATATGAAGCCATTCAATCTGCTTCCCTAAGGAGAGTCATTGTTAGCTGCACAAATAGAGATGCATGTGAATAAAGACACTAAGGCTCATTACCACTGCAACAGAATAATTGTACTCTAATTTACATCCTCCCAACACTATCTATCTATCAAGATGTAATAAGATATTTAACATGTTGTTACTGTATGTATGCATGTTTTATACATAACAATCTGTTATCTGTCAGCTTAAACCAGCACTGTACACTACAATTAGATTTTTTCCCCCATAATTATCCTAACATATGTCTGGGCAACCCCAGTAAAGTCAAGTAATATGCACTGGATATAAATCATGACAGAATAAGGCCATGAACTCTTTTAGTTTGGTATTTTATATTATTTCACTTTCTTGAAACTCCAGATACTTAAGAGAAATGGATTTTTAAAATGAAAAATCTATTAATTCTTTGAAGCAGATGGCATAATACTTATAAACGCCTTCTTTACATACTTATTCAAGAGGAATAAAATAAGACATCCAGCAGAGTAGAATATGGATCAATATGTGCTTTCAATGGCTCCTGGTTTTATTTCCACTGAAGTCAGTAGGTGTTTTGTCACTCTTTTCCAAGAGTGCAGGATCAGGTCCAAGTAGCTAGAAATCATATCAGTCCTATCTCCTTTTTTTACACAAATACTCCAGAAATCTTGACATTCCATTACCTGTGAGTAAACCATACTCAGAAACATGGAGTTCCTCCATAATCTGAAAGTTCTGCCACCACACAAAGTCCTTCCAGTTCTTCCATTCAAATGGCTGCTCTTGCAAATAATCTTCTCAGTAAATTAAAGCAGTAAATTTTCCTTGTTCTCGATGACATTAGCATTTGTTTTTTCATGGTCATATACAGTAAGAGATTGTCTGCCTTCTGTGCCTCTTTTGTACAAAGAACTGCAGTGAACTATACTTAGTAGAGGTGGTGCATGATAACACCAGGGATGAATTATAACAGCTTATTCTCTCCACCTTCCCTGGTACCTTCTACGTGAGCAAAATGTATTCTTTTCCAACATGAGATAAGCACACCAATTTTCCAAAATGCTCTGTTACTTCAAATTCAAGAAACAGAAAAATGAAATTATTCAAAAAATAATTAATTAAAAAGAGTGAAGAATGTGCACTATTTTGAAAAATATTAGGTGGAAAGAAGCCCAACTACAAAGACTGATGAGACTGTTCTGTTCTATAAACATGCTCTGCTGTATCGACAAAGTGGTTTTAACCTTCACTTTAATAGTTTATTTTCCTTGAAGAGGAATCTCTTTCCTACAGAGAATTTCTGGGCATTTTCTGTTTTGAAATAAATCGACCATACTTTAGCTGGAGTGAAGGGAACCTAGTGCATCCAGTTCTTCTGGATCTCTCATAATACCCTTGTCTGTTATCTGCTTAGACATCAGCAAATAGTAAACAGTTATATAATTTTTTCTTAAAGAAAACCCTTTAATAATAAATGTGTTCTTCACAGAGATATTAATTTTGGATTTTTAGGGACTTCAGAGATTAAATAACTTTTTATATTAGACTTGTTCAGAGTTTTCAACTAATTTGCAGACAACAATAGTTGACACAACCTTGTGTGCACTCTCAGCATGGAACAGCATTGAGATATGATTAGGCAAATGGTTTAGAAATTAGTGCACATCCCTTTGGCATTCCAGAGTTACATCTTAATTTCCTTTCCCTTCAGAAAGTGTTAAATGTATTTCCCTGTGTTTTTGTCCAATTACCATAATGTGCTAGGGTGTGTTTCATATGTACAGAGACTTTGCTGAAATACAGAAATCTGTAGGTATTTGATAAATGTCTGAATACTTTTCTGTGAAAGCATTTCACTTTCATTTCCAATTTCAGATCACTGTACTGGAACTCTTATTTATTCTCCTGCAGACAAGAATGTTAGACAGCTCAGTCCTTCTATACAGTAAATAATTTGGAACAGGCACTATCATTTACTCAATATTTGTATCATTCTCAAAATAATGTATTCTCAAATTGATTGACTCCTAGTCACTACCACAATATAAATGTTAAAACAGGGCTACATTTCATATTAAGGCAGATATTAGTCAGTACGCATGGAAAGCAAATTTATTACTAGCTTGGATGAGTATCTACACTACCCAGTTCAAAGTTACAGTAATCAAATGTCTGAAAGGAAGTATATCAAATGCCTAACTGGGCAGTCAAAACAGCTCAAATTGCAACTATCAGACACTTGCAATGAATTGCTCATGAATAGGCAGCAGGCTAAGAATTACTGGTAGAAGCTATTCAGGAGGAGTTTTGCACAAATCTGGGGAAAAAAACCCATGCTCTTTCAACGACAGCTCACAAACAGAGAGATGACATTTGGCAAACAGAATTCAACATGAATTACTCACTCAAGACTAGTGATAATACCTAGCAATTATGTAGCGCTTTATACATTCAGTAGACTGTACAAACTGACATTAATTATGTTGAACTGCCTCTTCTTGTCTACTCTTTGTTTTAATATTCTTCTTAGTAAAAAACTTGGTTTGGCACACACAGATCTTCACACAGGCAGGCCGTGTGACTAGCAAATTCTCCATCTTCATGTGTAAAAGCACATACATAAAAATAAACAAGGTTAAAGTCTGAGGTAAAAACACAAGGCTAGCTTGTCAGTTTATAGTACACCATAAATTAGGAATGATGCCCAGTTGTTGTGACAAGCCGATGGATGGACTTTTGATTTCTCAGTTACTTCCTTATTACTAGGAGGAGGAGGAGAGGGAAGGATTTGTCTGCTGAGTTGGTACCAGCTGAAGCCCCGACAGCTGACTCAGTGGAGCTGGCTGGTGCAGAGCCTGTGCGCCCTACAGTGCTTGTCTTCATTCCTGCATAGGAAGAAGCACCTCCAACATTGCTGGAAATATTTACAAATTATTTAGCACATGAATTATGTGTCAAAACACTTCAGGGGGACAGGAGAGAAAAGGGCTTCACATGGCCTTTTTTCTGGTTCCCTTCTCCCTGCCTCCTTTCCCACTGTATATATAGAAGATATTCAGGAGTGTATGTGAAAAAACAAAATCAGAATTGTACATCTAAGACCTGAGTAAAAGATATTGGAAGAAAACATAAAGACTAATAGGCTTGGATCAGCCTCATAATTAAAGGCAGTATTTTCTATCATTTCTCCTAAAAATTCTGTCCATTTAATAAATATTAGTAAATCATCTACCTTCTCTGTTCAGACAGATGATGAAAGCAAAGCTGAATAGTATGTAAGAAATGTATACTGAAATAATATAGGGCACCCAATACTAGTATAATCCAGATTTTGGAGGATGCCTTGAAGAGATTAGAAATTAGAAATTGTTCTTAATACACTCGAGAGACTGCATTTCAGTTTATAGAGATGATACATATTCTAGAGAGACAAAGAAAAATAAATTAACCTCAGTGTTTGTAGTTGATGGGGTTAGAAGGCAAACTCATTAGCACATTCATAAGACATTTGCTTATCTGTACACCAGCCTTCTGTTGCTGAACAAACCTCCAGAGTATCCACTGGTTCATTTCTCCACCATTGTCAGCAGTGCCACATGTATAGAGTTCAGTATTGTCCTAGTTATTCAGCACTGGTGAGTAATCGATGTGCCCAATAGCTACTCACTTGTATGTAAGAAAATCAAATAGTTCAGAGTCGTTGATCTCATTGCATTTCACTGGTGGTGTAATTTATAGAGCTGATAATTCAAAGTGGTACAGGTTCCCTGAGTTAAATTCTCTTCTCATTTTATAATGTACTTTGATAAATGAAGTAGGTTGGTAAGCATAATTACTGTTCTGGTTTTTGATATTTTTTTTCTCTCTTTTTAGGATTATATTTAGATATAGCGGCAGTACAATTTTAAAAACAGCTTTTCTTTAACTACCATATGCCGTCTCTCCCAAAGCTCAACTCATTTAGGTACAAATTCTTAGAGAATGTGTAAGTCTCTGACAGACAACCACCTGTCATGTATTTGAATGTATGCATTTTGCATGTCCCTCTTATGATTAAATAAAGTGGACACTTATATTAAACATTCCAGGTTTGTTAATAAACAATAGCTCCATCTTTTCCTGAAATTTTGGTATTCAGATAGAAGGGAATACATTCATGATGATGATCAGAGGTGCAAAGTATGTCTGGCTACACCTATATTACTAAATTCATCTGTTTTAGGAAGCAATTCCTGGCTCTGCAGTCCTGAGACATAACTAGAATATTTTGTATTTTCAAAGTGATAATAAAGTGAGATAATCTGAAAAAAAAGGTGAAATCTGCAGTGCAGCCTACCAGAGCAGTAAGCACGTTGCTTGCCCTGCAGCCTGTCCTGAGGGTATGTGCTGATCATTGCAGGCACAGGGACTGCTGGCATCATGTCAGAAGTCTGTCCCAGGCTTAAGGAGCCCATTTTGGCACCATCTCTTTCATGTTTCCTGCCTGGAGTGAACCATGAAGCAAACCACTGTGATAACCTGCCTTGGTTTCTTCCTTCGGGAAACAAGTTTACTCATTCAGAAAGGAGCCTGGAAAGGCCCTGGCAGACCTGGCCTATGAATAGGGGCAACCAAGACTGGGGAGTTTAACAGCATAGAAGCCCCTTAGGATATCATGTGGTCTTGCTATCCTAAGGGCTCTAAGTGCTACCACAGTCAGATAGATAACTAAATACCACCCACACCACAATTTCCATGACTATCTGAGCTTGCAGAGCTTTTTATCTTCATCTGCAAGTTGTAAAAAGCAAGCTTTTAGTCACCTATTGTGTAAGTTCCTGGGTTTAATGCAACAATTCCGTTTGAAGGACATTGTGTTCACATTTCTTCCTATAGCATGATTTTCCATTTCATATTAAATAAGTTCAAGAGAAAATGGAGATAAGTGGTGAAGAGTACTGGATCTCCACAAGTGTCTATCAACATCTAGGTGGTCCCTAGAGATCTGCTTTTCAAGCACTAACCAGGCATCACACCTTTTTCTGGATAGCTCTTTCAGCCTGCCACTTCCACAAATATTAAGAGCAATTAAAATGACAAAAATAAAAAACATTGACTCCTACATACCTGTTTTTTAAACTGTTGCTTAATATTTAGTTAATTTTCATAATAGTATTTAGTGCATTCACTCCTTTATATGGATCTGTAACCATGGTAACAACATCATAATCTCATAACACATTCTTTAAAACCACATTCTGGAAACAGCACATTGTTCCAACTTCTATTGTTTACTCTGATGCATTGGATAAAAAATGACTGAACCTATTCTGCTGTTGCTCCAATAATGATACTCTGCAGCTCAGTAGAACCTTGCAACCAAAGCACTTTTCAGGTGTCATTTAGTGGTCCTCAAAAGCTTGTCTGCATTCCTACTGAGATGAGGAAACTAAGGCACTGGTATATAAGCTGTGAGACAGAACGTATGGGCAAAAGGAGGCATCAGCACAACATTTTCTACACCAACAGGCACAACAGTCACTGTTCATTAATTAAGCAATGAGATCCTCTGGATCCGTAGTGAAAAACATAAAAAAGAAAGAAGGAAAGAAAGAAGGAAGGAAAGAAGGAAAG